ATTCCAATCATTATTCTGGACCGAAACTCCCAATAGGCCAGTAAGTCTTTCAAATTGAATCAGCTATCTGCACAAACATTACACTTCAGGGAAACTATTGCTAAATTGTACGAAGAAAGAAGTGTAACATTATGAAATCTAATTATATGTATCCTCAGTCTATTCTAATATCTTAGACATGTCAAACATTACGCACTACAACAATTACTAACCGTTAATAACACTAATCGCATAATAACACTAATCGTATAATAACACTAACCGTTAATAACACTAATCGCATAATCACAACAGTTTCTGTAGCATTTCAATTCGTCATTAGTTGTTTCCATTATGTCATGCCTGGTCAATATCTTATGTTATAATGACGGATATGAAGCCGCAGATCCAAGTCTCCACACGCGCTTAATTGGATCATTACCAGACACACACATTGTGAAGATCACAAATCCAAATCATTTCAGATTTCTTTGCCCCGACGGTGTCACAAGACGAATAAATATAATAGTTTTTTTTTGTCTGCTTAACTTGAAACTGTTTTTTTTTTTTCATTCCTGATTGTTTGTAAATGGGAACAAAAGCGTGAAAAGGCAAAGACAAGGGTGAATTAAGAAGACGTTAAGAGTGACAGGAAGTGGTGAGGGGGTGGCGAAGAGGGGTTGATGGTGAGACGTTGAGCTGTAAGTGGATCAAGAAGTAGGGCAACAGCTGGTATGGTTAACGATAGTACTCCTAGACTGGCGCGTTGTGAGTGCTTTGTACAGTTCCAGATCTAATATAATAATTGCTATATACACAACAATGTCGAGACAGATATCTGCATATCGATCTGTGGGCATGCAGTGTGAGGGCTGCAGCTGTGTTGATAGACGCTATGTGTTTCCGCGGTTTTAGGTTTTTACACGATGTATGGTACCTATGCTGCTGCAACAACAACAGACACGATATTCAATGGTCCTCTGAACAAAATCAAACATTAAATCCTCTTTGACAATTTGTTCGGCACCTCTTGCACAACACGAAGAAGAAATCTGCTTTCACAAACACTTATGCAGACTCAACGATACACCTGACGCGGAGGCTCGTTGTCTTCTAGATTGAATGTTCTTCCGATGCGACAGAGTGTTATTTTTAGCAGATTTAGATCCATCCTTCGTGTAGTGCATGTCAGATCTTTTGGAGAAAAACATCTCGTCCAATATATAAAATAGATTGTCAGGCATCGTGACCGATTGCTAAGAAAATAATTACGTTTTTATGAAGTGGGCGGGATACCATTTCAAAATTTGGATGGACATTCATCTGATTGAATTAACAAATTACATTAGTGCGTGTGTTTTGATAAATAATCTGTTTTATATATGAACAGGGTTTTAGTGATCAGTACACTGACTGACTGACTGAGTTTGGTTTTACACCGCTTTTAGCAATATTCCAGCAATATCACGGAGGGGGACACCAGAAATGGGCTTCACTCATTGTACCCATGTGGGGATTCGAACCCGGGTCTTCGGCGTGACGAGCCAACGCTTTAACCACTAGACTACCCCACTGCTCCGATCAGTACACATATACCTGACAGTGTCAGATTGAAAACGTAGTGGATGTAGTGGTTAAAGTGTTCGCTCGTCACGCTGAAGATCAGGGTTCGATTCCCCACATGGGTACAACGTGTGAGGCCCATTTCTGTGATATTATTGGAATGTTGCTAAAAGCTAAAACCCCACTCACTGCAAACGTGACGATCAAAAAGTTGGTTCTTGACAACAGATCCGAGTTTGGATCTCTCATAGATGACACAATATGTGATGCCGGTTTCTAGTGGTTTGAGCGTTTTCCTATCACGGTAAAGATGAAAGCCTTAGGTATAAACTGCATGTGAGAAGAGCACATGTGTATATCTGTGCAGGTACGCATGTGTGTAGGATTACAAAGTGCATCATTAGCTACTGGAAAATTCTTTGCATGTGCCAAGACCAAACGAACATTTAAGGTTGCGCATGACATTTTGTGGTGGACGGAAAACCCATTTTGGCGCATTTGCTGCAGATTCTGCGGACAATGTAATAAGACATTCCCATGCTTATCTACACGATTACATTGTTGTCCATATGAGAAGGCTCCGACTTCATGGCACTTTCACCATCGACTTACAGCCTCCAGTATAGAACTCATTATAGTTGTTGAGTCTTGGCATAGAGACTTTCGAAATACATCAACTTGCGAAACAACTGAGAAGCCCATGACAAATTACATGACATACAAAAACACTGCTTTCCCCAGGCTGCTTATATTCACTATACGTCTATCAAATAAATATAGAAGCGATCTCTGCTGAAAGCAGTATCTCTTGTACGATTCCGACAACTGCGCATTGTGTCCATTAATCAGTAGCAGGAGGATGATATCCGGTCTACAGATCAGCGTATCCTGCTCAACCGGTAGCACCTGTCACGAATGCAATCAAAGGCAGGGCAATTGTTGACTTGAGCAAAGCACGAGAACATATGATAGTCCAAACAAGGCATTGTATCGGATACAACTTTGTCACTGATGTCATTTTATATATCTCATCCCCCTTAAAGCCATCTACTCCAAACGTGCATGAAAGCTTTACTGACACCTTGAATGTTTTAATCTTGATCAAACCGCTCATACCACCTATGAGATTCTTTGGAGAGTGTAGTTTGTTCTTTACCACGGACAAATGTATGCCCTTTCGTCGATCTTCATTGGTGTGTTTCATGTTTAAAATGACACAGTGAGTGAGTGGGTGAGTGAGGGAGTGAGTTTAGTTTTACGCCGCACTCGGCAATATTCCAGCTATATGGCGGCGGTCTGTAAATAATCGAGTCTGGACCAGACAATCCAGTGATCAACATCATGAACATCGATCTGCGCAATTGGGAACCGATGATATGTGTCAACCAAGTCAGCGAGCCTGACCACCCGATCCCGTTAGTCGCCTCTTACGACAAGCTTAGTCGCCTTCTGTGACAAGCATGGGTTGCTGAAGACCTATTCTACCCCGGATCTTCACGGGTCTTAAAATGACAGAAGGGAGTAGGCTTTCAGACTTAGAAATATGGGAGATGTGTAATGAAACAGAACTAATATTACATTATCTACTGTTTAGTGTTTAGGGACTTATTATAGACGCGTTAAGTATACTCGATATGACCTTTTAAATCCAAACGAATCCTGTACCTGAAGAAAGTGCTTCTTGCAAATACATACTATTAGAAGGGCTGACAGAACATCCACTGCTCGTTTACTGTATTAATGAGCACATCGTGATAATAAGAACCCGGTGTACATCGCCCACATGGATAAGTCATGGATAAGAGTGAGTGAGTGAGTGAATGATAAGCATGGTATGGGTTGACTGACTGACTGACTGAGTTTGGTTTTAGCAATATTCCAGCAACATCACGGCGGGGGACACCAGAAATGGGCTTCACACATTGTGCCCATGTGGGGATTCGAACCCGGGTCTTCGGCGTGACGAGCATACGCTTTAACCATTAGGCTACCCCACCGCCCCTGGTATGGGTTGACATGACGGGGAGAGACATTATTGGAATGATAACATTTCTACGTTTGTGAAATGTTAAAATGTCCACCGTTACAATGATCACAAACTGAAGAACAAGCAGTAGGGCCAATCGTAGATTTAAACCCTCGATCATCTGTATATCTGACATGTCCAAGAGACACATCTCTGTACAGCGAATTACGTCGACTATCGGTCCACCTGTGGCGCCATGAAGCGTACAATGTGTGCATCCGTATGAAATGTTTCCTGATAAGATGGTGTGTGAGTATGGGTTTATGCCGCTTTAAGCAAAATGCAAGAATTATCACACATTGTACCCATGTGAGGAATCGAACCTGGGTTTTCTACGTGACGACCAAACGCTACGTCTCTGAAAATGAACATATTTCACTGTTTCAGTCAGGGAACTCCCAGCAACAATCGCCCTCAGTAACGATCTAAATGCATTTCTGTGTCATCGTACACCCTCGACCACGCTAAAATGATTGATGATATGATTTTTACCGCAAGTCCTTTTCACCACATCTCTAACATTGTACTTGCCCTGTAACATACTAAGCTTCGTTGTGTCTTTTCTCAAAACCCAGACAGAACATTGCACAGGAGCATCGATAAAAAAGTCTGGAAAAACAAAATAATTACAAACAGATTGCTTTCAGAGGCAGTTTCATGTACAATGACTGAACAGGTAAAACATCGCCGAAATTGAAGAAGCGCTAGTATTATTCTTTATACAGAGGTATTATTCTTTAAATATACTATTCACCTCAATGGTAGTACCACTATTATAAAGGATGAAATGTATCCACACAATATTAGGACAATATACAAATACAAATATCAATATTTCAACGGTAAAATTGCCCCAGTGCACTACATACTGAAATACCGTCCTATCAGCGCCCTTAACAAGTTAAGTAATGTTGTGTGATGGTACGAAATCACCTCAGCGATCCCTGCACGTACACGTTGTTTACAGGGACCCCTGGCTTATGTTGGTATCTGCTCTCACTGACGTGAAACGCAGCGAAGCGGAGTCCACATTCTGTAACAGCGTCTGCCTTGCGATATGCTGTACAGCAATAGCGCCTTGCCTTCCTAAAGTCGGAGTAGTGCTGTTTCTCTTCCACTACAGCGGGCTGGTAATGAGTCGCTTGTGAGTCAGGAGCGTTGTGTGTATTCAGACTACAGTGGAAACCCGATGCAAAATTATACAGATCGAACACTACGTCCCTGGCTTGATTATGTCTCAAATTTATCGGCTAAACACCAGGTCATGTAGAAACTATTAGGTGAACTAGTGTTCCAGAAAGAGATATGGAAATCAATTTACACAAGCCGCGGGGTCTGTCGCAGTAAGAATGTGTTTGTGTATGAGTGTAAATTCATCAATTCGGCGTTAAATTGAAACGCTTTCATTTGACATATTCATACCTGCCGCAGACTCCCCTTGACGCCAATCATAATACTTTAGCGAATGTCCTATCACATCCTGACACATAACCCCGCCGCTCTTGTCCCGTACGCAACCGCCAAGTCAGCCAATAAGCGTTTGATGGGAGGATAAAAACAGAGAGGCGGGGAGTGTGGGTCTAGAAATTAGCATCGCACTGTCATCAACACAGCTAACAAGTGTGGAGCTGTCCTATACTCATGTTGGCCATTGGATCACCTTCTGCGTGTGGCTTATGTGGAATTGATAACGTCATACATTGATTGGTATATAAACAGACACGGTCGGTGTTGGACACGTGCTTTGGATTTATCCGAGACTGCGTCAAGTGATTTTACAGGTGAGACAATGTTTGAGAAGTCCGTTGACTGTTGAAAACGGCCCTTGATCACCGCGGGCATAACTGGTGTTTATGTTTCATAGTTCTGTTTGATTGTTGTGAAAGAAACCCCTCGGTATGTCGTCGGATCAATCAGCTGGTGACAGCATGGCCTCAGGGTTGCTTAACATAACACATGTTTCAGAACCGTCCGAGATGCTCAAGTGCAACCGGTCGGCTAATATTACTGAAAACTGTACAAAGATGTTTGTACAAGGTATTTCCGAGGGGCCAGTAGCAATCCTAGTTCCGATACTATTTGGGATTATTTTCATCGTTGGAGTGATCGGAAATGGCACAGTCATTTTTACGGTTGCTAGGAACAAAAACATGAGAAATGTCCCAAACATTCTCATTGTCAGTTTATCATTGGGAGATTTGCTTCTTATCTTGGTGTCAGTTCCATTTTCTGCAACAATATATACATTAAAGTCATGGTCGTACGGGGAAATCATCTGTAAGTTTAATTTCTACATGCAGACCATGTCTCTAGGAGTGTCAGTGTTCACGCTAATTGCACTAAGCGCTGACAGGTACATGGCTATAGTGGACCCAATGAGTAACATAACAGGGAAGACCATTGGCAAGGCTATGACAGTGGTAGGGGTTATTTGGGCATCGTCTTTCCTTCTTGCAATCCCGGATTGGATCTTCTCAAGCACTTCAGACTTTCAAATGGAGGATGGTAACTTCGGGCACATGTGTACTCCATACCCTCTTTCGCTGTATCCCAAGTATCCCAAAATACAGGGATTGGTTCGCTTCGTAGTATTCTTCGCCATCCCCGTTGTGACCATTGGATTCTTCTACCTTATGATGGCTTATATTCTCATCAGAAGCGGACAAAGTATGCCATGTGAATGCAGCAAGAGCGCTATGAATCAACAGAGACAGATAGCTGCAAGGAAGAAGGTAGCGAAGGTAGTCTTTTCTTTTGTTTTCATATTCCTCATATGTTGGTTGCCTCGTCATATATACATCATCTGGTTCTTCTATGACGAGGACGGTGTGTACAACAACTTCTGGTACGGATTCCAAATCTTTGGCTTCTGTTTGACTTTCGTGAATTCCTGTGTTAACCCCCTAGCCCTATACTTTCTGAGCAGCCAGTTCAGAAAGTTTTACAACAAATATTTGTTCTGCTGTTTCCCAAAAGTCAGGGTCTACAACCCACTGGAGCAAACGTCAACGATGCACAATTTCAACAGCACTGTTCGCAGGGCAAGTTCAACGACCAACACCATGGTTCATTCTATGTCACAGTCCATGTGCTGAACTGACCTTCGTTACACCACGTTTCCGTGCTCAAGTAAGTAAGACCTAATACAACTCAAACAGGTCTGGCTTGATACAATCAATAGTACAATGTATGTCAAACTAAATCCATTTGAATTAACAATACATAGAGGTTCCTACAGTCTTAATATATCAGAGGACTTCGGGATATATGACTCTGTATTCTATGGTCAACTCGAAACGGCAACGATAAGGATAATGATACTCCAACGGTCTCAATGTGTCTACACCTATACAGGAAGTGTCTCTATTGTTCCACGTGTTTCATCACTACATGACAAGGAAACTATTGACGTTGATACCACACATGGTACAGCTGATATTTGACTTGAAGTTCTACCTGTGACATGCATGCTTTGCTCAGCTGCTGTTATTGATTTGGATAAACATCTCATTGAAATGAGGAGGGAGGTATTGCATACTGAACACTTGTTGCAGCACTGACGTATACCTCATGTATGATGTTACGCAATCGCATACGGGCTGATATTTATAAAGTGCTGCAATACATTTCACAAGTCTGCCCATCACTTTTACCGGGGCAGAGGTAATTGGATCTGTTGGAGTGAAAACCATTTGATAGGTAATATTTGACCAATGATGTGAACTCAAGCGATAGTTTTGTGTATATATCTGCCAATTATATTTTATGAAATATTGACCATGTTTGTATAGTGTGTATATCTGACCATAGATACAAACATTAACATTTGAATAATTCATATGACATACTTTGATATTTGGGAACTCAATCTAATAAAGGAGGCAAATAATTATAACTGCGGTCTCTATTTTGTGATAGATATACATTAAACACGTTGTAGCTCAAACTGTTTAGGAAGAATATCATTTAAACAATTATTTTTTTGTCGAAAATGTATGTAATGGTGAGTTGTCAGTTTACGTTATCAAATCAAGTCAGCGGATTTATAATATAAATCATGGATCACCTTGAACATTGTTATAAAATGTTGCCGTTGCAAAGATTCAGTGTTCTCCACTATGTACAAGTCGTCTCTGATGAAGTGTTCAAGTTGCTGTTATAACCAATGAAACCTTTGTTTATAACAGCAATAATCCGATTAATAACATAGTCGGGATATTTGTAAGATTATTCAATTTTATCGTAACATAAATGTACCTGATGTACTCAATAGTTATGTTTGCCATATATTTGGCACTTTTTCTTAAAGTGTTTTATCACTTGACAGTGACGGCCCAAACATGTAATTTGCTGTATATACTATTCACAGTATAGATAATATCTATTACGTCTGTACAGGCTTAGTTTAACATAAATTGTTCCTGTATATAGACTATATCAGTTTTATAACAATGAAACACACACCTATCAATCAGCTTTTGTGATTATATATTTTGTGTACGTTGAGTGGGTAATCGATAAGTCGGCTCACAATCATCGTAAATGGGACAATTCAATCAGTTGTCGGTACTTACTGCTCAATGTTCATAAAAGCTTTTTGCACTAAACATGTGTTTACCGATACCTGTTACATGTTACATAATCCCCGTGATGTCAGGAGATTTGGGGGTATATATCGTGTAGTCCATGTACTGAAAATATGCTACTCGGACTTGTGAATACAGGTGTCAGTGTGCTTTAACCATACTCTGATACCTCAGTGACGTCAGGCCCAACTGCTATGACCAACTTATGACGTCATATGCGTTTGTTGGAGAATACCGCCGAAATCAGTAAGTTACTGCTAATCAAACGCAATATAAACTGGTCTAAATTTTGTTAAATAATACTTATCCAGAAACGTTTTTGGATTTCGATTACCACGTATAAACATGTAACGTCATAACGTCATGTAACGTCAAAATCAGTAAATACCATCATGTCACAAGAAACTTTCCACTATGACGCAGTACTGACTGGGGCTAGGAACTTAGCAGTCAGCCCTTTCCTTTTAGTTTCAACAAAATCAGTAAATGCGCCATACTGTCACTGGATGTTCTGGTCAATCATTCGATTGTTTGGTTTATGTGCGGCAGATATCCCGTTTGGCGTCAGGTGGTGCACAATCTTTTCTTTCATGCACCATTTGTGAACATCAGCTGGTGTTGGTAGGGTAGGACATGCTTATCCTTTCAGCGAACACTTTGTGTCATCATTGTTTTCACAAGTCCATTCTCATACATGTACTATTTACCGCTACTTTGACCCTTACGTAAATCAAATTTGTTTCAGCGGATTCCAAAACTGGTTATTCTTTCGAATTGATGTTTAATATCTAATAAAGACCATGTTTACTGAGTTACTTTTCGTACTGTCAATATGTGTTGGCATACACGTATGGGGGTTTGTACTGTATCTCCAATCACATTGTTCAATTTGCACTTGAATAAGGTGCGGCACTCGGTCCTCGAATCGCAATATGTTAACACGGGAGCAGTGTATCTATCATATCGTGTAATCCACTGGCGCCAGAAGTACTGAGCTCCAACGTATTAGCAGGGTTTAGAAGGTATTGGTTCGGGTCGATGTGATCGTCGTTCTTGCACAGGGTTATTTAACTACAGAATGCGCTGATGGGAATCCTTGACATTTTGGTGGCATACTAAAGAATGGAAATTATGCCTCTGTAAAAGGAATCACACTAGCTCAAGTTAATCGAGAATTGTTATTTGATGTTACTTTTGATGATAACAAACCAAATATATTTTTTCTTTCAAAATTTCAAGTGATTCGTCATTTTACGAAGGTTTTTTTTAGCAGCGGTTTCTTTTTCTTCTTGGACTTGTAGAAGCGATTGGAAAAGGTTATGATGAATTTTACAATATTTTGATGTTTTGTTCTGAAGCCTTGGGCGAGTACTGTAAGGCGTATGTGATCTCTCAAGCCTGTCATAAAGCAATACATCAAAATACTGTAAGGAAAATGTCAAAAGTTATTTGGATTGTCACGTCAACATAACATGTTTATTATTAATGTTCATATTTTCACACGCCTAATGAAAATATGACGCACATACTGTTCGCACTTATCTGAACTCACTTGTATTACAAAAATAACGAGAAAAACGCAATACGTTAATTGTAGAGTGAACAGCAATGATAAAGAGGAACGTCGAGGAACTCTAAATATGACTACAGTGTTAAGATTCAGCCTTTTATAAACTTAGTCGATCTTTATGTACATGCACAATCCGATGCACGTGATAATGTTTGGAAAACCAAAACTGCAATAAGTTGATTCCGATCCTACTTTTGGCAATATGAAGTCGAATAAAAGAGTGTGTAATAGGTTCGTCAATACCATAGATTTAAAACTTTCAAATGACCATGTTCGTAAAAGAAGACTTTTTCTTATAAGCCTTGCTTCCGCGGTGATAGGGTCGTCGATTCAAGTTTCAGTCAGATGATGATATTGTGACTTATCATTCCAGTTGAACAGAATCACAAAATAATGAATGCAAATTTGCAAAAAACACTTTTTCACAACACATTCTTGTAAAAGGATCTCTGTTGTTGACCTTAGAACAATAAGATATTTCACATTATTCACCATAGTGACGGCAATAACTGGGTTATTATTCAGACGTTAAAATTGTATTAGTGTACTCTGTTCACACGTCCAGAGAACTCAACATTACTAAAACAAGCGTACACCATGCTGACACATATGCAGTAATAACCGTTAACCCTGTTCTGAAGGTCTTCAAATACAATGCATAATTGGATTGTTGATTACAACAGTCACAGTTCCGTTATTCAAATACATGCTAATTGATGCAAATACGGTAATTAACCACGTGGTGTTTCATTTCATCCAAGCACCTGTTCCTTTACGGCTCCGAGTGTATTCTGAACCCTAGATCAATACCAGACACAAGCCAGTTTGTACAACTGTTGCTGATCGGGACGAAGCACATTGAGATAAATCGCTAAACAAATGCACATGCGTTGAATCAACATCTTAGAATGTTCAGTGATGCCAAGTCGAAATCACCACCAATGTTTACTGTCGTTAACTGAACAAAAATGTGCGGATAAAGAAAAACGACTGTCAAATTTGTCTTTGAACCGTACTAAATGTAATTTAAGACAACAGTTGGGCTCAATACGTATTTGTCTACAACATCAACATTAATTGGGCAGTTAAAAGGGAAATTATATTGAAAGTTCTATTGAAAAGACTTTGTTTTTTCTAAGAAACATGCTGTGAAGTTCATTTTTATCTTATACGACGACTTTGTCGTCTCTGAATCCTTATCAGAACTGTTTAAGCAATATGCTTCAGTTTGGATTGTTTTCCTTCTTGACATAAACCATTACATACAATGAGCCTGGCTAAGTATGGTCAAACGTGGTATATCTGTATTCATATCTTTGCAATAAACATTCATGAGATGCGTGTATTACGAATCTAGAGGTACTGTTATATTTCACAAAAGCATACCATAATACGTGATTGTAGAAAGATTGCGTAGACGTATTGAATAGGAATAGAAGAGTAATAACGTTTCTGTGTCTTTACGAAAAATGCTCTCAATACTGAGTATCATGTGTTGATGTTTGCCCTATATTTGCATAATAATCCGCAGTATGGAAAAATATGGTTTCACTGCATAATGCCTGGTCGGTGGCTTTAAATTTCTCTTAACAATAAACATATAACAACTTTCTTTTGGGTCTTCAAACGGAAGTGATACACATAAGGAAGAGAGTTTTATGGACGTCAACTTCACCTTCAACGTCATCACCTGATTAATGTACAAGGATGTACTCTGAAATGTTGTGGTCCTCATAATAAAGACGTTCATTCATAAAACTGTCTTCCTTAACTTTCATGTGTATATCATTTAAGAAAGAATATCTCAATAACAGCGATAGGCAATAACCTTTTCAGCAAGAATGCTTGGACGAATACAGCAAAAGCTTAGTCTTGACTTCTGAACAGCTGTCAGTTAGTGGTACTAATACTGTAGCAATAATTATCTTTAAACAATTGATAATAATCGATTCACACCAGGCCAGCGATTACTACATTATCAAAGTAACCCGTTTACAACCGTATGTATCTAGGTCACTTAATTACTGTCAAGGCCCCGAAATGTTTTGATGTTGGTCGGTGATCCATCATCTGTTGTTTTGATTGTGTACCCTTCCAGTTATGTACATTGGTATGTTTCTTTTAGTGTCTTTTGTTATTCAGTGAAGAATACATATAAATCCTGTTCTTCTTACCATGTTTCTTTGTAATGACATTTCGACTTGCTCACCTGTTATTGTAATAACACTAACTGATTTGCGTGGTCTGCCTTGCTTCCACGGCAAATGTGCTAAGGTTTAGCAATTTCCAAGCGCTACAGTTGTTGGCAATTGTGTTTCATTATCTGTCTAAATGTCGTTATTATCCCATCTACAGCACTCAGCCTTCCTTGTACAATTCTACTCGTGCAATTAGGCCATATTGCAATATGTACACTTAAGAAACAAATGTCAGTTCGGCAATAATTGTTAGCTTAAGATGGAAACTAGTGCCTATATTTTAACCAGACTCAATAATGAAGTATTTGCATCGATGGTAATATATTCTTCATTTTGTATCCCGTAGCTCTCAAACTGAGTAATTTGCTGATGGGCGCTTCATCGTTGAAGGTTACAAAATGTCATTATCCATTAAAAAAAGTTCTTTATTTCGGACCATTTAAGATTTGTCGCTTTCTGACAAAGTACATCATCACACAAGCTTCTAGGCCTATACTTAAATATATGTTTGGTTTCAGACCATGTTGGAATTCACTGTTTAAGCTAAGGTACCATAGTTAACGTCCATATTGCATTTTCCTTAGATATATATCATCACGGTTTTTTATGAAACAAACAACCATTTCTAATGCAAATGCACCATCACTGTCGATAAGAGTCAAATGATCGTACACGTGTAGCGTTTAGCGATTATCAATGCTGACTGGTACCCTGAAGTCATTTGACGTCACAGTACATCATTGTATGTAAATGACGTAACACATTAATTACACTGCGTCACATGGACACATATGAACAGAAGAGGGTTCAGATTGAGTTCACATTTCTCACGTCTTCTTCATTTTCCGTCTGAAGATGAAAGTGGGCATTGTTTATAATAAGGTAACTCACGATTACGGACTATATGTCGCTCCTGATTGAATATTGTAAGTCCTCAGATGAGGGAACGTTATCAACACCCTTATTAGCCAAGGGCAGGCAATTCGTAATCGTCATAATTCGCTGAATAAAGTACGACCGTGAAACCTCTTCATGTCGAACCCGGAAAGTCCGGAAATACCACTATGTCGAATATTGTTGGGAAAGTTAAACTATTTACTAAAAGACACATGACTACGTATCCATGATTCATTTCAGTAAATGTTTATCCGAACGAATTGTCAGGGAACACTACCGTCCATTACCAGGGTATTGGAGAATGTTTATCATTATGTGGCGTTTTACCGTATAATATGCTTGTCAATAGCGTGAGCCAGCTATCAAAACGTTATCAATAAAATACGTGTACATCAATACTTGTAATTGGCATCGCAATGATTGTATAAATGTTTACATTACCTTGACATGTACATAATACGATGATATTTTGTGAATATGGTTGTGTCTATGTTTTAGATCTGTATATACGTATGTTTATTTAATATTCCTAAGAATGGTAACATGTACATCGCGATAACAATTACATCCCACAGTGGTGGTTGTTGGTGTCAATATGTTTCATTGATGTATATGTACACCTGGTCCCATTAGGTGAATGTTGTACTACACACTGTCAAAATAAATTTATCCTTAATAGGGTTGAATTGGTCAACTTTGGATATTATATATTCCTCAGGATGCCAAGAATAATTGTATTATTACTGATGTTCATTTGTCGTAGCAACTATAACATAGGAAATATTTTTCCACACCCTACTTTAAGATATCATCAATTGCCTACATCATCCATTTGGTTTAATGATCATGTTTTGTCAAAATCTACAAATGTCTTTTGAGGCAAGGTTTGAGACGCCTTGTCCAATTTTGCTAGGTTGTAAATACAGATGGCATTGTTAAAAATACATGAAATATATTTTGTTGCAACTATTATCATTGTATGTATGAGTACCGCAGTTGTTATCAGAATATAAATTGTTAACTGATGGCTTAATGTATTGTGATGCAAATAAAGTTTTAGATGTACATACGTTTTTGTTGTGAATGATAGTTTTTCAGATTTCTTGTCGGAATAACAAATGAATGAGGCAAAATACGCTCACCTTGTCGCAAACACCTGGTATCATCAAAAATTAATTGTCTTTCATAAATTTATGCATATATCAGAGTCATACGTTTAACCCTTTTCTTATCTTTATAAAAATGTTTCTTCCTTTTTTATCAATATGTCAAAGAGCTTAGACAGAAGACAGTTGTACTTCAGACGCTGTGTAATGTTGACACCAAGCCTGAAGTACGGGAAATAAGGGCCAAATCTTGCCCCAAGAACGTTGAACAGATCTTTTACAAAACACAATCTTGTGGATATATTGTCTTATGCAGAGATCTAGTAAACAGACCAGGCGATATTACCAGTCTCTCTTATTTCTAGTTTAGGTTGATAAAAAGGTTAACGAGAATTGTTTGTACAGAGTGCAACATCGAATGTTTCAGCATCAGCTATTCAGTTATATTAATGTTTTTGGATGTTTATACGTCACTGTTGAAAATGACAGGTGGTAATTTACCTATTTTAGTCATAATAATTATACGCGCACTTTTTGACGAACAGTTGGTATCCTCACTAACTAGGATTATTCATAAACCGTAAACGTCAACTTTTGATAACAGTCTGTCAGTATCGGGTATCCGAAAAACATTGGTTGGTTGCTTTGTTGTTTAACGCCACACTCAGCAATATTCAAGCTATATGGCGGCGGTCTGTAAATAATCGAGTCTGGACCAGACAGTCCAGTGATCAACATCATGAGCTTCGATCTACAAATTGGGATACGATAACATACGTCAACCAAGTAAGCGAACCTGACAACCCGTAAGTTGCTTCTTACGACAAGCATGGGTTACTGAAGACCAATTCTTACCCGGATCTTCACGGGTGTTCCGCAAAACAAATGCGGTGACAATTGTATGAATGGATCAACACACATCAGTTATGGCATCAGGTGTACGCGAAACAAATACATGTAGTTGCAATACTGTGGGAATCGAACAATGGTGCTTCTTCTACGAACAAGTGCGAAATGGAAATGAGTTTTACAACCCTTAAACCATCCTTGATAATCTCCAGGGTATACGTTACGATCACTCTCCACTATAACCTGGATGCTCGACTTAGCCCGATTATTTTACTACCTCCCTTTGCTGGCTTTTTATCCAATCAGGTGTCTACGCTGGGAAGTTGAGCAACCCAATCACAACTCACTTTCGCTTCTTAAATTATGTAACCGTTAAAACTTGGCAACACAATTCATGCAGAGGTACTCTGAAAGAGGTAGAAGAAGTTCTTTCATATATCTTTTTAAAGTTTCAGATCTGTCAATTTGTCTGTATGAATTCCCCCAAAAATCTGAGTGGCACTGCGAACAAACCTTCGCGACTGCGACCGCTAACTTTGTTGACACTGGCAAGCCCGGATGTAACGGCGGCTTAGCTGATTGGCTACTGTGAGAATGCGGATACAGCAAAGGGAGGTAATAAAATTATCGGGTCAAGCCGTTGATGCATCAAGGGTATAGTGGAGAGTGATCGTAACGTCTACCTTGGAGATTATCGAGGGTGCCCTCTAACGTGAGTGAGTGATTTAAGTTAGTGTGTCGCATGGGAAATCTTTCTGATCTATAGCGACGAGTGAGTGAGTTTAGTTTTACGCCGCTTTTAGCAATATACTAGCAATATCTCGGCGGGGATACCAGAAATGGGCTTCACATATTGCACCTATGTGGGGAATCGAACCCGGGTCTTCGGCGTGAAGAGCAAACTCCTTAACCGCTAGGCTACCGCACCGCCCCTTATAGCAACGAGAAGTATGTAGAACATGTTGTGGTACTGTTATGACAACACTTTCTGATGTTGATTTATTCTGACACGTTGTTAATAAGAATTCACATACAAAATTAACTCTGGTTATCATTCGTAGAGTAACAGGCCTATACCGTTGCTCCAGGGCTTTATCCAAACATGTTGTCGTTTAAAACAACATCACATCTCTCCACTATCATATAACTGTTTAAAAAACCGCACCACTCTCTCACTTCAATAATAAATTTCGTCTGTGCTAATTCTGAGATGACATTTTCATGATCACATCCGCTTCATTAGATCTGAAACGTCACACACACCCTGCTAGAACGGCCAGTAAATGTGGTATTCATTCAACGAAAGAGCAGGTGTGCATTAATGCAAATGGTGAACACTCATTAAAAGCAATTACACTGCCAAGAATATCTCAAGTGTTTGTACAAGGGCAAGTAACATGTCTCGTCCCATCGGTTAAGTATACCCTCATTTTATTTACCCAAACTGATGAACCTCATTAACCGAACCTCTGGAACTCGATCTATTATTTGAAACCATTCTCATACATCATGATGATAGTAGTATGCTATGGATATTCAATGTTCTATAACGTCATTTAACGCTGAAAACTCACTGTGCTGACGTTAAACGGATGGGTGAGTGAGTTTAGTTTCACGCAATATTCCCGCTATTTGGCCACGGTTTGTATATAATCGAGTCTGGACCAGACAACCCAGTGATCAACAGCATAAGCATCGGTCTACCCAATTGGGATACGATGACATGTGTCAACCATGCAAGCGAGTCTGACCACCCGATCCCGTTAGTCGCCTCTTACGACAAGCATGGGTTACTGAAGATCGATTCTAACCCGGATCTTCACGGGTTTGACGTGAAATGAACATGTCATAACCTCATTTCATAACCACATAAATAGTGTTTGTATTCAACTCATATACAGTCACGAGTTACTGTTAAACATAATTGATGAATTAAGGCATTATGGGTGTCCATGTACTTTGTAACATCTGACTGAATCATTCCGGAAGTACTGAAATCTGTACTTTACTTAGAAAGTGTAATCCCAAATATACCACATGTTCACCTCACCACTTTCTAAATAGCACTGTATGATCATGGTATTGTATGTTCATTCCAGAAGTAGTTTTCGATCAACTGGAGATGACTACAATTTGCAAGTCTCTGTTGTACTTTTGCCATGAGCATGTTTTGCTAACGTTAATAGTAGTCTAAATGCATGAGTTGGTTGTGCCGTCAGTTCACATTACACGTAATTTCGGGGTGGTATGTATGATGTCCACAAAACAATATTTCACAGATAACTACAAATTCACAATTTTTAAATCCACATTATCTAGAATTGAACACCATTTTTAAATTCCTGTAATCGATTTAATTCTGTTTCCTACTCATGTGAGTAAATTGCGTTTTGCTTCACATTTTTATGTGATTTGGAATCCACTCGGTTGAGTGCATATAGTTGGTTCAAGTACTTGTCTTTTGGAACAACACACAATCTGTCTGAAGGAGGCCAATGATAAAGGGCGAAGCACTGAGGGAACATAAATGTGTTACGTCTCAAGCGTGGTGAACCGTTCTTCTACTTACCAACGGTCCGCTTGAAATGAGTTCCATGTGCCAATCTCACATGATCTGTTGCTTACGAATTACACGAATACGCTGTCTTCACCACCTACTGTTCCACCTATATGCTCAGTAAGTCCATTTGAAACGGACCATAAAAATCGCCGAACTTCTTCAAAGCCTGTTTTGCAATACGGGAACAATAAATTGCCATTACTGGTGG